TGAGCAGATTATTTGATGAGTTTTCATATTTTTAGGAACTTTTTATACAATTCTCTGTCTGTGTTTTTTTTAAATCTAATTCTACACACTTGATAGGCTTTGTTTTCTTGTCCCTGACTCTTATTACCTCTCTGGTTATTATAACTGCTTCCTTTTTTCGATAAGATATCAGCCTACTGTGTAAAAACTGTGTGAAGTTTCCCTTTGTGCCTTGAAATCAAGAAGGCCTCGCAACCTTCCCATGAAGCTTTGGCGACCCCCTAGTGGGGGTCCCGACCCCTAGGTTGGGAACCACTGCTGTAAGCAATGACTCATTAGCCTTTCTTTTTCCCAGCAGTTATTCACACAAGAAATATAACTGCACTGATGATTCTCTGTAGTTCATACTGAAATAAAAATGTAGTTAAGTTATTAGCAGAAGTAACAACTGGTCAGAAATAAATCTGTTCTGCTTCCTGTCTTATTCACTCCAAAAATCCCCAAAATTCAGTAAAGTTCAGTTTGAATTCGTCTGTTTCCCACCAGTGAAATTCGGATTGCAGTTTCCAGTGGTAAACACATGGTAAAAGCATCTTATAAAAAACAATAAAACCACAGTAAATAAACTATGAAGACACAATAAAACAAGCCACAAGCTGCCGGAAGATACAGACTTTACTTACAGGGATCAGCTGATAAGAAGAGAATGAAAATAAATCCCTTTCCAGCACAAAAGCCTCGTAAAGGTGTGAGACGTTGCATCATTTAATGTGCAAATTAATCTTACTAATTGCAGTAAATACAGTTAATGAGAGTGTTTCCTTAATTCCTCAATTTAAAGGTCAGACTGGGGCAGGAAAATACTGTCATTGTTTTCCCACGACTTTCAGTGATTTATACTAATATAAAGGTCAAAGATAACATGCTCCGGTTTGGGTTTAGAAGGTTTTACCCCATTTGTGCTAATGAAGCTCTTTTAGGTCTTGTTTAAGAAACAAACACGCTTGTCAAGCCAAAACTAAGAATTCCTGCACAAGATGCAAGAAACAGTTCATTAACAATCAGCTCTCTCAAGCCGAGCTATTAAAAGCTCTAATATGTAACATTTCCTCATTAAACAGTGTAAAAACTCTATTTCTCTGTTCTATATGTAGTTGAGTTGTGTTCTTACATTATCTGAAATGTTTCCAACAATGTTCAAACTCAGAAAATCTGTCATTTTATTCAGGTAGCGCTGCGTTTCACCGGTCACCTGTCAATGGCGTCATTATACAAGCGTTGTGGTTGTCTGCTAGAAGCTGTCATACATTGACTTGTACTACCAGGATCATGAGCTTTCATTTAACTCAAAAAAAAAGTTGTGGAACTGGATGAAAAGCGTGAACCTCAATATGTTGTTAAGTAAAAGATGAAGAACATTCGTTTAATCAGAGTATATGTGGAAGGAATGTGGTTTCGTAGCAGAAAACAACTTCATGACAACACGACGGACCTCCGATCCACGACCAATGCAGGAGGAGAGGCCACAGGATGCTGATCGGCCAAAAAAGCTCGATATGCAAGAACAGATCGAAGGACGTTCAAACAATTCATCGTTTCCGCCAAAAGGTGTTCGATTTAAAGGATCATGAGTGCGCTTTGACAGGACAGGATGATCTCCAAACCCTCCAGCTTATCAATGAGGGACGAAAAAGCGTGCGTGTGTTTGCTCGAAAGCTGCGAGCTGGTGGGTGAAGACAACACAATCCCATTGATCCCCGCGCTGCCTTCACCAGCCTCAGTCGTAACTTACTGCCCGGTTTTCTATGTTTTCTTGAGCCCGACTTACGGGTGTACTCCAGATTCATACAAAATGTTGCGTATGTGGTAACTGTTTACAAAGAAACCCAATGATTCAATCAATAATCAAAAT